AGAAACAGGAGAATCCCTTGTTTGACATGGTTGAAATCTAAACTCCTGGCTCAAGTCAGCCAGTTATTTGAAGACCTCAACTCTTCCAGCACCATCGCTGTACTCCCAACACAATGATCGAGACGGCAAGAAACCAAACCCCCAAATGGATGGTCCACAACATATTCATAGGACTGATTCCTCCCTCCCTTTTTAAATGTAAATAGTTAAAAAATTATAGCTTTGCATGCTAGAAATTTAAATAGTCAAGATGAATTCTATGGAAAGCTAGTTTCCTTGGCCTAAAGTGTTCACTAGTCAATGATTCCTGTGAACCAAAGTCAGAGAATGCTAAAGAAGTTGTTCATCCACTAAACTGACCCAGCATACTGATGTTTGTTTCAGTAATACACTTGCTTTGGTACCAAAGAATGAAAAAGCCCTGTCAGGGCGTTGGTATACATGCTACTCTACCTCCAAAAGTAGGAGGGCCAAAAGATTCCACGGGCAACTAAATTTATAACAAGTTAAATTATTTTTCATTACATGTACTCTAGTGACTACCTCAACATATAGAGAAAATAGACCCATTAACCATGTTACACCTGTTTTTACTAGAGCGGTCAAGCGATTAAAAAAAATAAATCGTGATTAATCAGTTTTAATTGCACTATTAAACAACAATAGAATACCTTTTATTTAAATATTTTAAAATATTTTCTATCTATTCAAATATAGGCTCAGGGCTTCAGCCCCCACTCCACAGAACATGGGGCCACCTCCCCGCCCAGAGGTATGCAATGAACATGTTAAAAAAAGGTACTAATTTTGTCTTCAGTTAATCGCAGGCATTAACTGCGATTAATTGACAGCCTAGTTTTTACTCTTACATGCATTCTGCTGTTTTCAGCTGCACTGAAGCAAGTGTTCTGAGGGGACATGAACACACAGGTAGAACTTACACACTGATAGAACTGTCCACGCTGCCCTCCTGTTACAAAGCGTTTCCCATCTGGATTCCAAGCCACGCTGGTTAAACTGTCTTCATGAGATTGACTCATCTTTGTCCTCAGCTCCCCAGTCTGGAGAGGAAACAAAGAAAATCAACCACTACAAAATCCAGTGTTCCCCACTCCTACAGACACATAATTAACAGATGTGCATGAAAACTTAACCTAGTGTTTCTAATTATGGACATTTCACTGCATTAATTGAATAAAAAGGTAAAAAAAAGTTGCACACTATGAAAGCCTTCTAGGGAGCAATGAAAAGGTGGAGCTGGGGTCATTCTAATTTTCTTTCAGCATGGGAAACTGTCAGCCATGTTCTCACTCGAGCAGTTGCAATGAGCTCAGTCTCAGAACTTTTTTGCTTCCACTTCAGATCTGAAGCCAGGACAGGCAGTGGGTGTATTTAATGGATTTAGAGGGAAGAAGAAAGGAAAGAAGAGATGTCAAGGAAAGAGAAAGTGAAAGATCAATGAAGGAAGGGAAAAGATAAATGACAGGCACAGAAAAAGAAAAAAAAAGGACTGAAGAAAAGAGGAAACCAAAAAAATGCAAGACAAGACTTTTTTTTTTTTAAATACTACAAAGCAGAGTACCAAAAAGCTTAAGAACGACGATAGTGGGTCAAACCAGCGGTTTATCTAGCCCGGTATCCTGTCTTCCAACAGCAGCCAGGGCCAGATGCTTCAGAGGGAATGAACAGAACAGGGCAATTATTAAGTGATCCATCTCGTTGTCCACTCCCAGCTTCTGGCAGCCAGAGGGGTAGGGACACTCAGAACGTGGGGTTGGATCCCTGACTACCTTGGCTAATAACCGTTGATGGACCTATCCAGCATTAACTTCTCTATTTTTTTTTTTTTTTTTAAACCCAGTTACACTTTTGGTCTTCAACATCCCCTGGCAACTAGTTCCACAGGTTGACCATGCATAGTGCAAAGAAGTACTTCCTTATGTTAGTTTTAAACCTGCTGCCTATTAATTTAACGGAGTGATCCTGGGTTCTTGTGTTATGTGAAGGGGTAAACACATCCTTATTCACTTTCTCCACATCATTCGTTATTTTATAGACCTCTATCATATCCTCACTTTAGTCGTCTCTTTTCGAAGTTGAACAGTCCCAGTCATTTTAGTATCTCGTTGTGTGGAAGCTGTTCTAGACCCCTAATCATTTTTGTTGCCCTTCTCTGTACCTTTTCCTTTTTTAAATTTTTTTTTTTTTTTGAGAGGGGGAGACCAGAACTGCAAATAGTATTCAAGGTGTGGGTGTACCATGAATTTATATATTGGCATTATGTTATTTACTGTCTTATTATTTATCCCTTTCCTAATGGCTCCTAAGATTCGATTAGGTTGACTACCGCTGCACATTGAGCGGATGTTTTCGGAGAACTATCCACAGTGACTCCAAGATCTTTTTCTTGAGTGGTAACAGCTAATTTTGACCCCATCATTTTATATGTATCCATGAGAGGACTGATCCATGAGAGGCTCTTCTCTCTTTTCCCATGACTGCTTACTTTGCTTAAGAGTCTTTGGTGTGGGATCTTGTCAAAGGCTTTTTGAAAGTACTCTATATTCACTAGATCACCCTTATCCACACCTTTGTTGACCACCTCAAAGAATTTTTAAAGATTTGTGAAGCATGATTTCTCTTTACAAAAGCCGTGTTGACTCATGCCCAACACATCATGTTTATTGCCATTTCTGATAATTCTGTTCTTTACTATAGTTTCAACCACCTTATCTGGTACTGAAGTTAGGCTTACTGGCCTGTAGTTGCCAGGATCACCTCTTAAAAATTGGCATTACATTAGCTATCCTCCAGTCATTTGGTACAGAGGCTGATTTAAGGGACAAGTTACGTACCACAATTAATAGTTCTGCAATTTCATATTTGAGTTCCTTCAGAACTCTTGGGTAAATATCATCTGATCCTGCTGATTCTAATTTATCAATCTGTTCCAAAAATCTCCTCTGACTCCTTAATCTGTGACAGTTCCTCAGGATTTGTCACCTAAAAATAATGGGTATGGGGTGGGATTCTCTCTCACATCTTCTGCTGTGAAAACCTATGCAAAGAGTTCACTTAGCTTCTCTGCTATGGCCATGTCTTCCTTACAATAACTTATAGTTAACCATTCTCTGGATATTGTACCTTAAACTCTCCATGCTAGAATTGACTTTTGTCCATGGATTGTAAAGTAGGAGTGTCATCATACTCATTTGAAAGGGCCAAATGCCATGTTTCATTATGGTCCGATATATAAATCCATAGGGATATAAATTCTGAACTTCATACTCCCTTCAATCCTCATTGATCTCCCACTGGTATCACCGGGAGGTTTGACCAGAGTGAGCTTGCATGTAGGGACGCTGCTCCCACTACTTCTGCCTTTTGTTTCTCTAAGCCTCTCTTCTGTTCTTCCCTATATACTTCCTTCCCTGCAACAACTCCCTATTATCTCAAGGGCTTCACTCCCATCTCCTAAAATGATCAGCAATGGAATATGTAACCTTGATACTGAAAGGTCTTTGTTGGCCTTAAGAGTCGACATTCCAACAGAGATTAATAAGGAACAGAGTTTAGCCTAAAACAGTGATTCAGAGGTGCCTGCAAACTCAGACAATGATTACTGGTTTACACTGTTAACTTTTCAAATGTGATCTCTGCAGCCACAGGTGCTAAAAACCTTTTTATTTTAAATGACACCTTAGATTCTTCACAATCTGAACGTGTCCAGATTCAGTCTGTATGGGCTACATGTGTCTTCTAAAGCCAAAAAGTAAATTACTCTCTCGACTGTCTCACACTGAACAAAGAGACAGGACCAAATGCTCTTAGATCACACCTACAAGCGTTTCAGCACTATGTGGATGGGTCAGACTCCACCATACTGGCCACTTGGATCACAAAATTAAAGAACACACAGTACTTGGGTTCCCAGCTACTTCCTCACCTTGTAGATAAGCCACATAAATGTCACTTGAACATTATAAAGATGAGTTGTAATGTTTCTAAAAACCATGGCACTAAAGGAATTCACTCCTTATAAATCCTCAAAGAAGTCATCTTGAAGTGAATCATCCAGACCTTTTCAAAAAACAGTAATTTCTCTCTGGCATGGATGATCATTTGGAATGGAAACATTACAGCCACCTCTTTGTATTCCAGAGTTGAAAGGACAGAAGATCCATGAAGAGTAGACTCACTGACAAATTAGTTTCAGTTCTGTTCACATTTAGTATACAAATTTTATATTCTACCTAGATTTGGGAAAGATTTGGGTCTATTAGCAACCTTTTTAATAAAAATGAAAAACTGCAATGTTTCCATGTTCACCTATATAGAAACAAGCTTACTGAAGTGATTTCATCCTTACTGAACAGTTCCAATGCATAATAAAGCCAACTGCTAGAGTTAAACACGACATTTTATATTAATATAGGATTGCTTACTTGTACATTCCACAGCCAAAGCTCAGAGCAGTCATCTGGGCCACAGGCAACAAGATAGTTGTCATCTGGACTCCAAGCAATGTAAGAAACACCATATGCATGGCCTTCTAATGTTTTAAGCAATTTTAACTGGTGCGTATCCTAAGTAAAACAAATACATATATGGTAAAAAGACTAGTCAATATTTGGCATAATTTGAGCTGTCAAGACAACCTGAGCCTAATTTTATAGTCCCGGGTTTTTATAGGATTTTTACCCAATTCAGGCCTGTATGATTTGGCCATTATCTTTTAAAACAAAACATTCTCTTTAGAGAATCTTAATCTCTATTTGTAAGTGAGCAGTTACTACCCTATAGAGTAGATCCATATACACACAAAAAAGCCTTTCCAAAATTCCCAACATACAGAGAGAAGTACTAGTAGGTATTCTGAGAATGTTATATTCTTCCTTTGTTTTGTTGTGGAACTCATTGACAGAGTACTGTGCAAAAACAATACTACAATATGGCCCATACTTTAGATTATGCAGGATACCTAGCAATTCTGCAGTATTTCATCTTCAAAGCACTGTAGGAACTTTACACAGTGGAACCAGTCTTTACACCCTTGTGAGGTAGACAAGTATTGTTAACCAAGTTTTACAAGATGATTAAATAAGACCGAAGTTAGGTGATGTGCCTCGGGTCAGGCAGTGAACATGACAGAATTAGGATTAGAATTTCAGAGTTCCTGGCTCCTAGTGCCATAGTCCGCTACTACACTTCCAACTGCTAGTTTCAAAATAAAATATTCAATTGACCGTAATAAGAATATTTTCCTCCAGTTCTTTGTAGTTTTAGGAATGCAAGAGCCTCTCTTATTAAAGTGATACAAAATGTTACAGGACTGTCAGCCAGTTATGAAGAAGTGCCTTTGTTTTATTGTATTTAGTCATTAATACTGACAGTTTAGATTAATGCATGAGGCATTCCTTTCGCCTACTGAATCACGTTAAAATGGTAGTAGATTGTAAAATGTAAGATAGTGCTTAACAATTTAAATGGCAGGACAGCTCATTAGAGTGAAGTCATAAGGTATTTATCAACTATTTGAAATATTAAGGTGTTTATGCTGTTAAACACCTTATCAGTTGCTGGCTTGATCCAAACCCTGAAATCTTCCAGTTGAGTATTGGCCCAACTGTAGTCACACTGGTGTCAAGCCTCATGAATCTGTCCCAAGTCATATTAAAGATACAGAGTATAGTGATCACAGATTAACAACAACTGGTCAATCAGGGGAGTATTTATTAGGTATTTTTACTCTCCATTATTTGAAAACATTTCCTACTTGCCCACTATCCTTTGTGGCTTTTGTCTTTTCCCATACTGAAAAAAGTCTCTTCAGGGATTTAAAAAAATAAAAAAATAAATTAACTCCACTAAATCACCCCTGGCAAGTGAAGAGTGCAGAGTTAGCCTTCTGAACTTTAATCAATGCAGTACTGAGCCTGCACACAGATCCAGTTCCTTTTGTCACTGTTCATTGCTCCTAGCCAAAGCTGAGGAAATGTGATTAGTTTAGTCATTTTTACTGCTCCAGATCAGAACCTTATGGGCAGAAGAGACCGTTCTTGCCATTTTCACATTTTCCCAAGCACTCAGAATGAAAGCAAGACTATTCTTGTCATTTTCCCTGCTGCCCATAAGGGTCCAAACTGCAGCAGTGAAAATGACTAGACTCATTAATTACCTACCCCTTGGGAAAACAAGGAAGAGTGCAAAGACAGGCACTGGAGGTATTTATGGAACCTGAAAAAAGGCTAGAAAAAGGAGATAGATTAGGATTATTTATTTGTGCTTACCTGAAAATTTCCTCTCTTAAATAGCAAGTTCCATAGATCCTGAAGGAGAAGGCCCAATGCTTACTGCATGAGGCAGACAGATCTCAGACACTGGCAGCAGCCTAAACTCCTTCCTCTGAAGTTGCTCTCCAGTTTAGGTTATCGCCACAGTTAAGATTTTTAGATTATTTAATTTAAAACGTATGCCTACTTCAGGAAATGAGTTTACACAGTTTTTTAAAGTTAAGTATAGAAACTCCTTCACATATCCCTTAGTTTGCCCCGATGGGCTAGGTGTACAGGCCTTGCTACTTGACACAAAAAGAGAAAAGCAGCAGCGTTCAGACAGATGAGTTTTCCTATTCTTTGGTGAAACAAGGTCCACAAATCCTATAACAGAATTTTTGAGCAGTGTAAGATCTTTTATAAAGGGAACGAAGACTCTGAAATACACACAAAAATTTGTCTGCAGTGAAGCGCGTAGCACTCCCTCCTAAGGCTGTACCCACTGAAGTTTAAGAACTATTTTGTAGAATGTAGTCAATGCATTGGTTAACAGCCATATGGTCACTGAATGGCTTTTTGCGTAAGGGCATTAAAACAAGGTTATAATTTCCACAGAAATGCCTGGTCAACAAGGCTGTTCTAAGAAATTGCTGGACGTCCAGGTGCACGGAGGCGTTTTTGTCGTTTGGGCAGTTTCTTAACCAAAGGATGCAAAATAATGCAGAAACTTTAGCATCATGATTCCCAAAGCTAAGCCTTCTTGGAGAATGTCTACTACATGTGGAATTGTAATACCCATCTCTGTTCCAGTCTCTTTGCCAAATTGGAAGGTATTTGAAGCTGACATTCAGGGAAAGATATTCTCAGAGTAACTGTGATGGTCAGAACAACCCACAACCAAAAAATCCCCCCAATTAATTTATTTTAAATGCCAGGCAACCAGAATCAAGAAGACGACTAGATCATGGTGAAGCACTGCTACAATACAGTCCTTTTGCAGTGTAGAAAGAGGACAGGTCTCTTCTATCATGCTGTTATTTTACAATAAGTCCCCCCTACCCAATAAGAATGTGGCCTCTCATTTTTCACCTCCAGATGGACCTGACTACAGTGAGAACAGTAGGAATGGTTAGAGCCGCATGCGGGTTTTCAGTTGGATACCATCTCCATGGCAGCAACCTTCAAGTATGTTCTCCTGGACAAGAATATGACTTTGCTGTGGCTCCTAGATGTGAAGCTCATGGTTGGTAGTCCAAAAAGTTGTCACACTCAAACACAGGGTGAAGGCTCCATTCCTGAAATCAGGTCTCAGCTTACTTTGCCAGTCCCTTCTATATTAAGATTTTTCATAGACAAGAGGAGTCTATTGCCCCGTAAGAACAAGAGATTTGTTTCCCTCTGAAGGGCTGATAATGAATTGCCAAGAACCAGATCCCAGCTGCATTAGAAACCACATCATCTACAAACTGCCAAGAGATCTGCACTCCTCTGGGATAACGTAGATAACAAAATAGCCGAGTACCACTATCTAAAGTTAAAGCTGAGGGGATCCAGCTCAAGTGGAACAAGCTTTCACTAAAGATTAGACTAATAAATTAAACTGAAGTTGGTTAGACTCTCTCTTCAAGACCTCTTTTGAGGTTTTCCTGCTATAACCAGATGGACTTCAACAACTGCATCACTATCAAAACAAAACACCCTGCCACACCCTTTGCAATGTCTCAGAAAACTTACACCTAGGATGGCAGGGGTGAGTTACATGCGTCTTGGTACTTTTCTTTTTAGCCATCAGGGCCTTCAACTCCTCTGGCTTCTTTCTGTGATGGTAAGGAGAGGAAATGGAGTACGGCTTGTTGCATCCATTTTTTGCACATCCTCTTGGTAAGGGGACAGACAATGTCTCCCCTTTTGCTTGGGGCCCTTTGAACTCCTTGGGATATATATATAGGAACTCTGGAATTCATTTTGAGAGCTAGTGAGAGAGTTCTCCAACAATCCCTCCCTCTGTTTTATTTTAGCCTTATTCAAGGCAACTCTTTTTCACTTGAGATCTTGGAGAGAATTCAACGGTCCCCTGACAGAGAGAGGCAGTACCCCCCGTGAAAGAAGCTGAGGGGTACTTGGGCTGGCACAGGCAGGAAGGTTTCATGAGATCACTTGTCAGAGAGCCCGGGAGGTACTTCCAGAGTATAGATTGCCCTGTCCTTACCTTCAGGAGATGGAGGAACAACATAGGTACTCCTTATGTCCATGGCAGAAGACTCTCCAATTTATTATAGTTAAGTTAGGTTTTTCTATTATTTACTTATTATCAATATTTTTTAAAATCAACTTAAGTCAACTACTCAGAATGACAGATACTACCCAACATGAAGATCTGGCTATGGTTCAGGATTTTAAGTTTGCCTTTTAGTCTTCTGTTTTGAAGACTGCCCATGTTTTTGAACCATATTTGAATGAGTTGTCAAATCCTCATTTATGTAAGGCAAATACTCAGTGAAGATTCCAAACCATGGAAACTGCTGTCCTTAAAAGGCTGCTATGGAAAAGTTCCTTCACATCTTCATTTTTGCCCATATAAATACAGAGCGTTGGAAGACCTACGTCCTCTTATGGATTGTAGAATTTCCCAGCTTTTGAGTGTGTGTTACATTTTGCCTTTTGAGATGGTAATAAAGGCTTTTTTATACAAAAGAGGTAATGTTTTTAGTATTTTCTCAATCACCAGTAATAATAAAATCAGTGGCAGTTTTTGCCCTTTACACATTATGTTGAACAAGAGAGATAATATTAAGTTCTGATTGACATTTTAATACATTATATGGATATTGCGGTTTTAAACTGAGTTTGTTTTTCCTTTTCATATTTGCAAAAGACATACGTCATATGTGATTTAATAAAATTGAATTGACTCAATCCATACCCTGGAGGTGAGCAGTCTCCAACCTTGGAGGATCTGCGATAAGACCTGATGGATAGGTGAGCTGGATTCTTGAGTGGAGATGGGCCCAACCGAAAAACGCTTCAAAGCACACAGAAGAGGGATAGATGAATGGTTGAGGGCAGGTCCTAAGGCCCCCCCATCACTGTTTTCACCTTGCTGTTCCCCATTTGCACCAAACACCACCATCTCTCTGTGGCCACATTGGCCCTCAGTGACTGAGGACAGTTTCTGACAGCATCTTAGAGCCTTCAGCCTGTCTGCCCTTGCCAGCTAGGGGAGGGCATGCCAGTCATCTGCCATTTCTCCTGCACCTCCTTCTGTGTTCACTGGGAGAGGGACGCCTAGACAATCCCTTTGCAAAAGAGGCTGCAAGCACCAAATCCTTCTCTTTGTCACAGAAAAGACAGAAATCTGTCCATGCACTCACTCGATGATGGGGGTAAGAGCAAGAAAAGCAAAGTTCTCCTTTCTTCATATTTCACTGCTATACCACTCGCTGTTCTGTTGCTGAAAGGGAAAATGTGCTGCTGCAGTACCTCAGGCAGGAAAGATTCCCCCATATAGCCAGTTATTTGCTCCCGATGCCCTCCAAAATCTTAGGTCTTTTAGCTCTGAAATCCAGTTGCTCCAGATTTTAGAAGTTTGCAATAGACAAGCAGAATTCTCTGTTATTAATCTAAACTTTGCAAGAAGAGGTCTGTTTTTCACCTGCCTGTAGTTGTGGAGTCAGAAACTGGTGGACTAGTTAGGAGGTGGAGACTATGTTACTGCCAGAGACTGAAAGGTCTGTTTCTACCAAAATGCTGAAAGTCCAATGGAGGATCGATCTATGGCCCTTGACTTGTTGAAGAATAGCAGTCAACCTTTCTTCCATAAGACAGAACTCACCCCACTCCAGCTGCAAGGAGGCTCTGAGGAAAGGGAAAGATCTAATCTTCCTTCCAACAAGGAAATTATAGTGGAGGTATTACAACAGCTATAAGTTTAACACACACCTCAAGGCCCTGCCCCTGCAGCTCCATTCCCCAAGCTTCTATATTGGCTTCTGGTAAATATTTTTAAGTCTCTTTCTTTGTGCCTGGTGATCAACTGTGGCAGCACAGCTACAAAAATAGTGTTGAACAGGGTCAACATAATTATATTGTTTTTCATAACACTAAGCGGATATATCCCCTTACAAAACAAACAGTTACAACATTTCCTACTATAAGAGCTCACATTCTAAGACAGACAAGACAAGACAAGACAAAAGACATGGAATAATAGTTCAGGAAAAGGATAACGTGGCAGGAAAGATACCCAGAATGAGAAAGTTTAAGGATGGATTTTAAGGAGAAGACACATAGTGGACAAGAAGGTAGTTCTTCCAGATATAGTGGGTAGACAAAACAGAAAGACCAAAGGCCAGATTCTGTCACCTTAAGTAGAGTACCTTTCCCCATAAGTGGCCCCATTTAAGTCAAGGTACTAACTGACATGACAGAACCTGACTAAGTGAGCAATCTAGTAGGACAAAGTAGTGGAAGAAGAGCAAGAGGAAATGAGAGCAAAAATATAGGGGCAGATGAGTTTGTAGAGCCTCTGGGTGAGGAGGCTGAAGCTGATGCAAGAGACCAGATTGAATTCAATGTGCATGGGATAGTCAGAGTGACAAGAATGAAAGGATTTCAGCAGCAGCAGCATTTTCATTATACTGGAATTTTGGGGGTGGGGATAAGTTTATTTTCAGGAGAAATCTGAGGGTTTGGATACTCTTTGCTGAACTACTGATGGAGCCCAAAAGGATTAAAAATATAGGGAAACATTCTTCAGATTTTCAGTATCAGCACATAGCTAGGGAATAGAATAAGTTTGGGACAAAGTTTGACAGTCTCTCTTGAACCAATTATTTTGTTAACTTTCAACAATTACTTGAAACGATGGGAAGAGAAATAAATGAACTCCATATGCCCTGGCAACTAGGAAACCAAATGACTGGTACGGACTAATGCAATTTAAATCCATCTTCAATATGTCCTGTAACAAGAGTGTTCCCTTCAACTTTACTGTGGAATGCATTTCAAATCTACTGATTGTTAGATTTAATACAGTTTCTTGGAATTTCTCCAAATAATAGCCATTAGAAAAGCTGTGTTTCACTAGTTTGTTCTTCTAGTGACCCATGCTTGCTTAACATTTTGGCATAATTTCAAACACCTAAAGTACATTTATTTTGGTATGATTAAATAGTATATAATTAATGATTCACTATGAAACTATTTGCTACTACTTGAGGTGCCATTTTGTGCCATAGATCTGCCCTTAATCACTTTCCCTAAGTAAGCTAGAACTTCCAATCCATGTTACAAAAAATGAACTCTTTTCTAACCATCTCCTGACATTTATAAACTATAGAGTGGTCTGGCTCCAATTAAAAATCCATCTCCAGCACCAAGCCTTAAGAATCCTTAGCAGTAAGTTTTTCAAAGCTGGATGTACACACACAACTCGTCTGTTAACTATTTTCAAGATCCCCCACCGTTCCCCAACAATAAAGAGTTCAACTGGTATATTCCCTCCTAGTTTTTGTTTGTTTGTTTGTTTGTTTGTTTTTGGGGGGGCGGGGGCTGCAGGGAAGAGAGGGCTTCCCTTCAACTCAGATCCTGCTGCAGGAAGGAGCAGCTTGCAAATTTATAACTGGGGTTTGAGTAACAATAACCCAGTATAATTTTTAAAATCTTCTCAAAAGGTTTGAGTTACAACTCTAAGAAACCAGAATATTGTGTGTGCACATGCACATTGATATGTATATACATATATCAATCATATAGTATATTATGTATATGGATTTGTGGCACATTTCCTAATATGTTTTCAATTAGTAATTGAACATAATTACATCCCATTCATAATGTGGTTGAAATACCAACATATCACTAGGACCTGAATAATCTCAGAGTGACTGCTCAAGCATTTTATTTACAAGAAAATACAATACAGACAGAAAAGATACTGATATCCAATAGCTAGAGTAAGGAGATTTGGCCGTTTTCTTGTAGAAGAAGCAAATAAGCAATATATAGTAACAATTTAAAACGTCAGAACTTAGTCTTGAAGAGAAAAAAAAAAACAAACAAAAAAAAAACTGTACATCCTTTCTTGATGAGTTTTGCCAGGTTTTCACAGAACATGAATCAAGAAAAGTTCCTCAAGTTGTATGTACAATGGCAATTAGTAGATAGTTGATGAAACTTCTATATGGTCTGTGAACATTTTATCACAAAGATCAGGTGGCATGTTTAAATGGTGAACCGGACTTCTATTTAAAATAATTCAAATTATTAAAAGTAAAGAGAGGATTTAAAATAAAGGTCTTCACTGAAATAATACCAAAAGCTTTAGGCAAAAGCACAATGAAAATTTAAGAAAAAGACTGCATGATTTAGAAGAGATGCAGATAGTTTAGGTCTTTTTTATCTTTAAAAAGACACGTTAAAGTCTGAGCACTTACTGAATCAACCTGCCATATAATAACAGTTGTGTCCTTTGATCCCGTTGCTAGTTTAGTTCCATCATTAGAGAATTTACAGAACCATACTTCATTACAGTGTTCTGTAAGTATTTGCTGTGTGTAACATGGGAACTGTTTCCTGAAACAAAGCAAAAAACAAACCATAGGGTTTGTTAAACACAATCTGATAAGCAATTGGTAAAAACTAATTATAAAAGTAAAGATTTCTGCAGTTAACATGCATTTCAAAAGACAGGATCGTCTTCAAATCTCATTATGAACATTAGCTAGACAGTATCGGTCACTAGGTATTGGTGATTTAAAAAAAAAAATCATTAATTAAAGATACCCTCTTAAATGACTCAAAAACATTAAGATGTGAATATAGGCAATCTACTAAGTCACAAGATCTTACTGTTACCCTCAGACTTCCTGCCCCATTACTTCCAATTGTTTGTTACACTCACTGTGTTTCAGATTAAAATTATAAGATCTTCAGGACACTAACTGGATCTTCCTAAAGTTTTGTAGGATATAGAACAGTCAGGCACCAATCTGATTGGGCCTCTGGACACTAGTGTAATAAAAGTTAAGGTTAATAAATTAACAATTTACAGGACTTTCCACTTTAGCTATTTCTGGCAACTCCACAGACATGATTAATTACGTGCTAAAAAGGAGTAATGGAAATACTAACTTTTACAAGATCATTTTCAAGAAATGAAACTCATTAATTTCCTGTAATTTAGATTTTTGTTATAGTGTTTATCACTGTGGTATTTTGTTACTCTGCAAACTACATTCAAACACCGCCCCACTTCTGAGCAAACAAAAACAGAACAGTAAGCTATTTCAACAGCAACTAATATCCTTTCCCCCCCCAATTATGTGCCAAAGAAGATCCTACCATCAAAACGTTAAATTCATGCAGAAAAATGGAGAGCAGTTCAGTTATGTTTGCAGCTCACCAACTGGCACTAAGTAGTTATACAGTGTTTGAAATCACCTGGCTGATTGTGTGTGTTATTTATGTTACAATAGCTTCTAGAGATGCCAATGTGCAAGACATTGTACAGACACAAGACAGTCTCTGCCTCACACAGCTTACAAGTTAACTGGAGCAGGAGACATCTTGTGTGTGTGTGTGTATTTGTACAGTGCTTGGCACAAAGGGGTCCTGATCCATAACTGGGGGAGCTACTGTAATAAATTAATACACTTTAGGGTAAAACTAGTTATAAAACATAGTTACAAATCTTATCTTACACTCAATACTGACAAATTCATGACACAAGTGACTGTCCTAAAATAAGTTCTCTCTCTTTGTTCAATAATTATTGGTAAGAGTCAGTGAGGTAATTAAGCCAATCCTGCAAAAAAGTACTACACATTTATTTAGTATGCCAAAGATGTGGAAATCCTTTCAAGATACTCTCTGTGCTTTCTTTAAGTAGCAAGACACTCTTGTATTGCACTACTCAGAGCAGCAAGCAATAGCCCCAAAATCAGAAAAACATAAGGCAGGGAAACACCACCCCTCCCCCCCCTTATAATTAGTTATAACTGAAAAGAATTGGAGGCATGCCTCCATAGTCATGGTTTTGTGGTTTTTAAGAATGGGTAAATAGAAAATCAGCCTAATTCCAATATGTTTTGAGGGGTTACACAGTATTTTCAAATGGCATTACTGTAATTAACAGTACTTAACTGTTTCTAGACGATCAAGAGGTTTGTGATCTTAGGACTGTGTAAACTGAATTTGATACACAGTGGTTACAGGAAGACTTGTTTTAAGCATAATTTGTTATTAATGTTTACTACCGCTCTGCCAATTCTAATACTGTACTTGTAAATCTGCTGTCCCATTTTTTAAAAATGGGACACTTAAAAATGCACAAAGACATTTAGTGTAAGAACATATAAATATCAATTTAATGAATGAAAGTCATGGTACACAAGCATCATTTATAGCAGCACACCTGCCTGTCACTGACATGGATTCAAGGAGTCCATGCAAGTAACTTACATTGATGCAAGGAAACAAGGAGAGAAAAGAGAGAGAGAGAAAAGAGAGAGAGAGAGACTTTCCTCACCCAACTAATGAAGCAAGTTGCTCAGTAAATTGTACTTCACAGATACAGTGAAGTATGTATTAAACAGGTACTCAACCACTGTTCTTTTCAGAAAATGTGGAACAGAACAGAACTTGATATTTTTGGATGGTCACAAGACAAGATGTTGGTTAAGAAGGACAGTTGTTTGAACAGATTTTGTTTTGTTTAGTTAACTAAGTACTCATGCTCAACCATACTTCTCTACATTTCTGCTTACGCAAAAGTCCTTCATTACTTATCTGCTCAGTATAGCGCACTTAAACTTTAGGCCTGGTCCATACTAAAAAGTTAGGTCGATCCAGCTACATTGATTAGGGGTGTGAAAAATCCACAACCCTAAGTGATGTAGTTAAGTTTTTGGCATAGACAAAAGAGTTCTTCTGTCAACCTAGCTATTGCCTCTCAGGGAGGTGGACTATCTGTGTCACTGTAGCATTTCAAGTGTAGACAAGCCCTTAATGCAAGGGTACTCTATTTTTTGTCAAGATCCAAATTTCTCGGTCAAGGTATAATCAAGGTCCAGACTCCAGAGAAATTATTGTTGTGGTTTTTTTTTTTTTTTTTTTTTTAAATAAAGTAAATAAAAAAAAGTCAGGGTCCATTCAAAAGCTTCTGGTGATCCGGATTTGGCCCACTGTCTACTTATTGACTACCTCTGCCTTAGTTTCCTTATGCTTTATTCCACACCATGTCAACAACACGGTTCATCAGTTACTGTGTTTTCACAAGTTTAGAATTCTAAATTTAATCCTTTAAAAACAGACCAAAAGAACTAAATTAAAATTACTGGAATAATAATTTAACAAAAATGTGAAAGTGAATTTGTTTACAATGAAAACATTGATTAATAAACAGACACCATCAAGACTGACAGTGTTGCTAACCCAATATCTGCAAGAGGCAATGTTCACTTTGCTCCCAAAACCTTCAGTGTTTAAATAAAAGTCATCTTCCTATGCATAATCCTACAACCACAAACTGAAGCGGTAGGAGAGGAGAACCAGCTAAGTACGTTGACTTCACTTTCTAGTTCTCAAAAAAAAAGGGGGGGGGGGGGGGGGAAGAGTTAAAATTGGATTGATTATAAAACAAAAGGATGCGGTAAAGGGTCCCCCACCTGCCCCCAATTAAGTTCTCCATTATCACAGGGCCAGTAATGTGAAAAAGCTTCACCCTCCACTCTGAGCACCCTCTCCCTCATTCCACCTCCTGAGAAGCAACAATCCTGTCTGTTTAGCTCAATATTGTATCTGTTCGTGTGATATAAGCATGCCTGATTCCAATATTGCCAGAAATCCATACAGATTAACTCCATTTAAAAAAAAAAAAAAAAAAAAATCGAAGTGGAAATAACCAATAGACTATCCTATCAATTTTAACATTACCCAAGTTTCATTGTCTTTTTAAACTATTAGATTACTGTTACTTTAATTCTATCAATTTGTTTACACAATTAAAAAGGCCTAAAAACAAAATCCAGAATCTGGCTTCCACTGTCTTTAACTCACCTCATTATGCCCAAGCATTGCAGCATGTACGGCGCACCACATACTGATCTCAGACCCCTGCAATAGGTAGGTACAATAGGTTGAGTTGAGGACAGAGTGGAAGCCTTTGTTTTGAAGTGTCTTCTTTTGGGGATGGGGGGGAGGGGAAGGGGAAGAAAGGGGGTACATGAGACTATGGTTTAATTGATATATACATATACACACACACCCAATATGCAAGTCTGGGTGTGGAGGATACAAAATTAGAAAGAGATAAAAGTTTGACCTACATGGGCATATATTTACTATGGGTGGGGTCTAGACAAGCCCAGACTTGTTACATTTGGCCCTCATCAAATATTATTGTATTATTTTATATAACTACATCTTAAAGGAGTTTCAATTGTATTGATCTCTCTTGTTAGCTGGATGCAAACACAGCATTAACACACTTCTAGACTGGCAGTAAGTATTAAAAAGCAATACGGTACACAATTTATTACTGCCCTAATGTTAAGAATCCTTTCTGAAGTACAAGGACCCCAATTCCTACATACACTAAAGAAAAGCTTCAAACCACTTGTTATTCCCCAGAATTGAAATGAAGTGAGATGGCCAAAAGTTCACACAAGAAAGGAATTTAAGGTGTTGTGGCAGTTAAAAGCACAAGACTACAAAAGTCTAAAGCCAGAACAATTACTTTAACATATGGTTATAAGTATTAGGAAATCTTCACTTTAAAAATAGATACCAAATAGTCTAAAGTTAAAAATCCCATGTGGTTGGAGATATTGGCAATTTTTAGAGACAAAACAGAATTACAAGGGAGACCTGAGAAGTTAGTAGTAGCTCACTATAGTAAGCATTTAATATGAAGAAAATCTTCATTATGAGCCAAAGAATTCAACTGCTGCTCCAACCACCAAAAATATAAAACACCATCCCCCTTTCTCGTGCTACTTCAGTGTCCGGCAACTTGTGGCCTTACCCCCTAATTATACCTTAGAAATATCTACAAGCTTTGTCTTTGCATTCATGTCACTTCTGCTAGATCCCTGAGGAGCTTTGGTTGTCTGAAAAAAAATACTCAAAACACAGCAATTGTTTCTCTGTGTGCATAATATACCAGCATTGAGTTACTTCCTCCCTGGAGCCTGCACAAGTTTCACAACATTTTAAATTTCTAAGCAACACCAATGTTACTCTAGTTTTAAGAAATTCCTTTATTATCTAAACAATCAATGATTTTGTGTACATGTGAAACTTGCACTCTTATATGTAAGAGTTATGAAATTTGGATGTTTTCTTACAAAACAAACTTTGCCAAATTTAAAGACATGTATTTGTGTGTTCTGTCTTACTCAGTTTGCATTACACATTTTTTAGCTATGACCAAGAATTAGAGTGTAGAATGCATTGTGTGTTATTTAACTTCAACTTCTAAAATGTAACAGCATTAAAGACTAAATCTGGAATATGACCTTGAACAGTAAACGTAGATTTACCTTACGCATCCAAGAAGTTTGAAGACAAAGAATGGGTAGTAACAATTCGATAGCCATTAGACACTGACAGAATAGCAAGAAGTAGCAAGTCTGTGCACCTAGATTAAGGCTAAATCCTCGATACATACACCCATCTCATTAAACAGTAAGTTTCATTCCCTCAAGGAGAAGTAGCCAGACATCAAGAAGCATTTTCATACATGTTCAGTAGTTTGTCTGCACAAACAGTTAAAGTTAATCAACTAAATGGGCCTGGCTTTTCCCAGTCTACTCCAGCATGTTCCAATTTGAAACAACTGTCCTACGATTCAAAGGAACAATATTGTGTAAGTGGATTGTGTTATATATTTAAAAATAAAAATACCGCTGTAAATTTTAAAAGTAGAAAAAGAAATTCTTACCTACTACAAACATGGTCTATAAGCAGTGACACAGAATCTAGACTGTTATCTAGTTTGGTATTATGATAGAGGCATCGGTCTCGTTGTAGCTCCACAGCCTGACGTAGTAGATTCTGTAAACGCCTTGGGGGAAGCATCACTGACGGCGGCAGGTATGCTTTAAAAAAAAAAAAAAAAAAAAAAAAAAATTACAAATGAACATTTTATCTTTACTGAATAAAAACCCATAAAGGAGTTATAAATTAAAGAAATCCAACCTACTGCTCAACTTGTTGGTTTATAACTGTGTAACTGAGGACCCAAAGATGAACTCAGATTCACTGATGTTTTCAAACAGAACTATACTTTTTTAGCTTTCTGTTGCTTTTGATCAGCACAAGTTCCATTTATACAAAGTAGACTGCTGCATGCTGATTTTAACTGTAAAATCCTCAACTGCGAGACTCCACTAGACCACTTTTTGTGCTCACTATGAGGAATTCCCAATTAAAAGGCAACACTATGTTAGTACTGCTATTAATGGAGCAGTAGAGTCCACCACATTATAGCAGTGCTTTCCAACCTCTTTTCATTTGCAGACTCCTCAAAAATTTCAAATGGGAGTGCGACCCCTTTGGAAGTCTTTTGACAGTCTGCAGACCCCCCCAGGAGGTCTGCGGACCCCAGGTTGAAAACCATTGTATTATAGGATAGGCCTATAGAATTGAAATGAGATACCACATGCCCTAGGATCAGACAGTCAATATCAAGAGCAGCTGCAATACATCCAACATGTTGGCCTATCACAAGTGACATGGAAGAAGCAAACTAACAGTCAGAGCAGATAGCAGTGAAAACAATTCATATACTTTCTACATATAGCAGAGGCACTGAGAACTGAAAGCTGTTATTACAAACAGCTAGGGGCAGCATAAGATTGAGAGTCACAAGACCTAAGACCCACAAAAATCACTAAGTCATTCCCATTAACCAGAATTATCTTCCCCATAAAGCACCAGTCACTGATAGTAAGTGTAATTAAAATCACTTTCCTCGAAAAAGTTACCCTATTAACTGGGATGTACTAGAAAAATATTTGGGGTGGATTTAGAAAAATCTATTTAAATGCTGAACATTAAACATCTTACTCTGGAGTTTGTCCAAAAGTTTAGATCTGGAAGCTGTTCCTTTTCCTTCCCATTCTGCTTTTGCACGCAAGTCTTCTGCATGACTACACATCAGATACCTGTAAAAACAAAGTGAATGAACACATCGTATTATGGTCTAAACCTTTTGGAATTTGTTTTCAATTGTAAGGATGATATATATGGAGATGTTCCTGTTTACAATTCATATTTAAGTGGAGTGGGGTAAAAGGGGCTCTAAGAAGAGACCTCTGTTTTGGGACCTCTCTCTCCCATCAGCTTATTACAGCTAGAATGTATTGATCTTCAGGACACACAGAACAGTCACTCCTGACCAACTTGCACTCAAGTAAAAGCTTGGGCAAATGTATGAGGAGTCAAAGACTAGATTGGGGCAAATTAAAGGGGACAATGATGCTTTATTTTGTAAGCAATATATTTCATTTCCCCCCCATGCAGATTAACCCAAAGGCTTATGAATTTCAATACAAAAACCCCAGCTCAGTGACTCAGAAGTTTACATCAAGTTAGACTAGTCAATGATGGCACAAAATATACCTAGATGTAAACAAAATTTACTATGCTAACTGATCCCAGTGTGTTTGAGGTATACATATGTGTTTCAAGCTGCATCATACTAAACTTCTAAATTTCTAGCATAATAGCACTGTCAATGATACCAACACTGCCAGGCTCTGCAATTTGTTCCTTGGGATGGTAATGATACAATGCATTAGTAAGATTTATTGTTGGAGTCTGGGTGATGGACAATAGCCATTTGCTCTAGAAGTTCCCTTTTGCTTTGTCACTAACTAGAAAGCTTTAAGGAGAGAAGGTACCAATGCAAGGTAATGGATAAGAAACAAAACAGATCTTGTTTAGACTGGTCTTCAGGAGAGAGGAAAAAAAAGGAGACTGTGCACATGCTGCACTCCCCCTCCACCCCCAAGAAAAAACAAAAACAAAAAAAACCCAACCCCTACCAACTTGAGAATTACTCAGCTATAGGAAAAGAGACTGAACATGTTTCCTTTAAAGGACTGAAATTATGTCCTTATCAGTTTAGGTTCTGATACCATGAAGGCAGTATATATAAACACTTATTTTGGATGAATGAGGTATGATATGAATCATGATACAACAATACTGTCAGTATAATAAATTTCTTCCCCTTGCCATTTTAAATAGTAGTGATCACCAACAGCATAAATCATTCCGATTTTTAAAACAAGTTAGTACTAAAGATTGAAGAAGGAGGGGAGAGATAAAAGACCCTGCTTCTGCAATGGAGTTTCCCCCACTGACTTCAATAGGAGTGGGACTGGGTCCAAAAGGGAGAATAGTGCTTCATTTTTACCAACACATTATTTTACTTATTCCACATGATTCAAGTGCACTTTTAATGTTATGAAGAGAGGGCTCAGGAAATATTGACCAACACTTGTTTCCATTGAAATACACAATCCCTCAGGATATTCTGTAGAACTAGCTGTTCAAGCTTAAACACCCTTACCCACTGAGGACATGAATGCGATCCGTATTGTATTTCAGTGGTGTCAGTTCACAGCGTAGAACCTGAAGTGCCTCCAGGACCTTGCCATCCTCCAGGTATTCCAGGTACTTCTGCTGTAGCAGCAAGAACTTCATCCTCTGACATGACAGAAAGCAGCAGTCAGGGGAAAAAGGTTGACTGAAGTTTCAGAAAATGTTTGAGCCTAAACAGAACAGTAGAAACCATTCTACTATACCCTTCAGAAATACAGCTACATGTAACGTATCATTACTTCTGGCTGGTCTTTCAGTACAATTGTGGAAGTTATGTTAGAAGTGACCAAAAAAATCTTTTCCACCTGCCTACTGGAGCCCTGAATATCCTCTTCCCCACTCCTCACACCCCTTCTAATTCTCTCTATTCTGAACCCATATTCCTTTCAGTTGCTATCCTTCAAACCAGGACTAGATGGGATTCCTTCAATCTCATGCTCAATCTTAAAACAAACAAAAAAGTATGCTGCATGCTTGTACAGAGCATGACCAGTAGGTCAGCAAGTCAACCCCCTAACTGGTTTTATACAGATTATGTAGGAACTCACCAAGGGATTCTCTCTATAGTTGTATAAGATGCTGTAGCAACATATTAACACTGCAACTAGGCAAAACAAGGCACCATGCAAACTAAACTTGTTTTCCAGAAGCATTAACACTGCCATCTTCTTTTTACAGAAAGCGGAGCGATATAGCTCCCCACATTTAGGGCTCACTTAGCCTATACTCATTTCTCATAAGCATTCACTTCTATTAGAATTCCAATGTGACCTTCACACATTCTCACATTTCTCATCAATAGCCATGATTCTAACTTTGTTAACATATTCATGGACACAAAATGAAGGAAGGCATTCAGTTCCACATTTAAAATCTGGAGCCCCCAAAATTTCTTAACATGCTTATCCTTAAGATGAAAGTGAGACAGTTTAGTTGCTTCTGCTGTACATAAACATAACCACTTGGTGTATGCATTTTTTGTCTGTCTTCACTACTGCTGCTAGTGGTTATCGCCGTGAGAAAAGACACACCCCAGGCCTTCAACAAGTAGAGGCGTAAGAGGAAAACCTGAGAATATATCTAGAGTGAAACAAAATTAAATTAAAGTGATGTGCTATGCTTTCCCCCCTCTCTATAGAAACTGAATGACATGCAAGACAGATCATAAATACACATAAATATTTGATCACCACTTTTCCCCATGTGAGTCCAGCAGATCCCAAAGACCATCAGCTTCTCATATTAGTGCATTAAGGGCATTATATAATTTTGAGCAAGGTGCTAGCCTCTTCAAATCAAGACACTTAAATATGAAACATTTGTTATGCCTTAACTTTACATGATTTACTGCATGTTGTTCATTTTTGCACTTCATCTTGGATAGGGTAGCTACACTGTCCTATTTGATCAATTTCGTTTAATTCTGTTTTTCCATACAATAACTCAATGTTGAAGTGTTCTGAGCTGCTAACAATATTTAAATAACTAGAACTTAATTGAAAAGAGATATACAGAGTAATTTTTGTAAATTAAGAAAAATCCTAAATTTTAAGATTAAAGAAAGTCTCAAGTAATTTAGCCTGTCTCTTGATTTGAGGTTTACTCAATTTAACATTTGACAGACTATGTCAGACATATTTTAAAAGAACATTAATTAGCTCTCATTCATGTGGTTTAAGTTATATAGTACTGTCATCACAATGGCATGGAGAAAGATACTCTACGACAGTGAGTCTCATAAAAATCTCATTCCTGCTACGCATTTGACTAGATGAGAGATACAGATCTTAAATATTTTATCTAGTAGTGGTTCTGACTGATGCTTTGAGGGAATTTAAAACATTTAGGTAAAATATTTGTTTTCCTTCAAGTGGAATGCATTCCAGATTGATTATGAATACAGCCTATGAGGACTACACTTCATTAAAACACTGAGTGCAACAGACCTTCTGTAACTCTTGAGAACAAAACGCACGTATCAAATTTTCATGTACATGAAAGAAAACTGCTGACTTATTGTATAGCTTTCAGAAGTATATGAAGTTACCTAGATATGCATCACTGTATAGATATTTGTAGCTAATTTCATACTATAGCATCTTAGTTTTCCAGTACTCTGATGTCCTGTAGGGGATAGGTCAGAACCCCCTTTATATTATTCTCCCTCTCATTGCACAGATATTCAGTTTGTTTGTATTCGGCGTGAAGGGTGAAGAGGAGGCCCATTAGAGAAGAGAGTATCTGCACAATTTTTACAGGTATAATGTTGCAGATTTTGGGGTGACGAGTCATTAGAAGTAAGCATTCCCCTTTTAATACTTCCCATCCACTTATTAGGAAAGTGGAGGGGTTGATTCCTCACGGTAGGTGATCACCACATAACCCCAAACTTCAGTGTTTTTTTAAAAACTTTGTTTTCTCAGTTCTTATCCAGAACTTGTGTTGAATATTCTTCAATTCTCCCTGCATATCTCCTAGACAATATTTTGTTTCTTATGTATCCATCCATTCACTTTTTCTTGATTTCCCTTATCTGCATGGTGATAACCACGTCATCCAATTACTACCTCTACCTGGCATAATGGTTCTAAAAGAAGAGGTAATGAAAGCCATTTCTGTGGAGGAAGAAAAGAAAAGGAAAAAAAATAAAATGTTTTTGTTGTTGTTGTGCCAATATCAGCAATTTAATGGAAATCCCTGTAAAAGTAAACCAGAGGCACTGTCTCCATGACTCATTTTATCCACACTAGTACAAGAAGCATGTCAAAATTGACCGACGTTGAGCCCTGATATTGTGTATAGCAACCAAGGCAGAGTACTGTTGCCAAGACAGCTGAATATGTACATTCTCAGTTAGTTCAGAGCATTTTTTTTTTTTTTTTTTTTTATTAAAGGAAAATAAGTCATTAACTCCATGAGTCCTAGGCATACTACTGAAAAGGACATCTCTTAGAATGATAGAGCACCAGAGTTTTCATACATGGAGACACAGTACATATACTAAATGCTAAAAATATTTTATTCATAACAGAGAGTTGGAACAAAAATGTTGAATGGATTTAATTACAACTAATGTCCCTATCAAGGCCCAGAGAACATTTTGCCTACAGTTTAATCACAACCTTTTTTTTGTTGGTTCATGAATGAATTTTTGTCCAAAAAACCCTACTAAGTTATTTGATGCGATGTAGAACTAAATTTCAGATTTAAGTGGCAGTGTCCCAAATAATGAGCAATTAGCTGTAGAGACCCTTTACACTAAGGGTCATGGATCCTATACCCCAGTTATTTTTAAAGGTATTTTCTTACCTTATGTCAGGCAATTCAGCTTTTCCTGTGCCTGAATCAGCTTTTCTGCAACCAGCACTTCTTGTGACAAGTTCTATCTTCAACTTTTTTTTCTCATCTCTTCCCCCTACCCTTTTCCTAATTTCCCCTTCTGCTGCTACCACCATCTAATACTAGTAGAGCTGATAATTGCCTCTAGTGTCAGATGCCAGCTTCCTCCACTGGACAGCAGGGTGTGACATAATTAACAGTAAAATTGGCTCAACAGTTCAATGTTAAAATGACCCTACATAAAGAATTGCTAGGGTCTAAGTTTTGAGCAGGGTTGACCAAAAATCAGGATTGAAAAAAGTTGTGGTTTTTAAGTGTTTATATTGTCAGTGCTTAAACTATAAAATGGGACGAAAGCGGATGGTTTGCACTTGTTTCTTTAGCTTCTAGTTATATAAAAATTCTATATAAAATATGAACTTTAGAATTTTCTCCTAAAATACTCATCAAAGCTGAAAAAGCAAAGTCCAGGGCCTCATCAACATCCTTACTGTGAAAACACCGCAAACCCGATAAGCAAATACAAGCAACACCATCTTTTGATATTCTGAATGTCCTCAAATTGAATCAAGAAAATTGAAGTGTTTTGATTTGTATTTGTGGTTTGAAGTCAATGGAATGTGTGTTCCTATTTAGAAACTTTAGTTTTCCAAAAATAAAAGCCTAAAGTGACTTGTATATATAAAAAACAAGTTCATAACAATTTTATTAGTATATTGAAAATCTAAATAACTTTTCATTGTTAACAAAACGAAATTGCTTTCAAGTGACAAACATTGTCACTAAGAGAAGTTTAATGAAAATATAATTTTAGCCTCCTAATGCTGCAACTTTCATGTACATGGTTAGCATAAATAGTCCTGCTGAAGTCAATGAGCATATTTATGTGAGTAAAGTTGTGTCTGATTTGCAGAATCAGGGCCTTAACGTTCAATATTTTGTTTCTCCACCTATGGCAGTTTTGTAAAAATTGAACAAGATACTCTAATAGTCTGCATCTGACGAAGTGGGTATTCACCCACGAAAGCTTATGCTCCAACACATCTGTTAGTCTTAAAGGTGCCACAGGACTCTCTGTTGCTTTTTACAGATCCAGACTAACACGGCTACCCCTCTGATACTCTACTAACAGTAGCATTTAACAATAGCACAATTTTTTCAAGCTAGTTTAACAAAACCTCAACCCAATTTAAATTTTTTTTTTTTTTTTTTATTTGTCACTTTATTTACGTCAGCAAAGTAAGTTATTCCAGGCTGGCTTGGATCTCTGCTCTCCTGTCCACCGGGAGGCTGTGCTCGCCATTCCTGGGACAGAAACTCTTATGCTGTTGTTGAGTAGCCTCCTCTAGGCAAGCCAGCACAGACATTGGCTGAAACTAGAGGAAGCTGCATCTAGCCATTCTCTGGGCTTGTCTTCACTACCCGCCTGGATCGGCGGGTAGAAATCGATCTCTCAGGGATCGAATTATCGCATCTCATCGGGACACGACAATCGATCCCCGAATCGACGTGCGTATTCCACCAGCGGAGGTAGGAGTAAGCGCCGTCGACGGGGGAGCCGCGGCGGTCGATTTGCCGCCGTCCTCACAGCGGGGTAAGTCAGCTCGGATACGTCGAATTCAGCTACGCTATTCGCGTAGCTGAATTCGACGTATCTTAAATCTATCCCCCCCCAAGTGTAGACCTAGCCTCTTTTAGGTAACCAGGTACAAGGCCTCTGAGTGAGAGCATAAGGAAAAATTAGAGGATCCTGGAGTGTATCCTCTTCCAATAAGGAATCATTACATCTTTTAGGGCTTCTCTACACAGCAAATTACTTCTGATTAACCTCCATGTGTGGACACTCTAATTCCACATGGAGTTAGTAAAGAATAGTTAATCTGCTCTTAATTCACACCCTAGTTTATTCCAGATCAATTTTCATGTGTAGACAAGCCTTTAGCTGATACCATAGAGTTAGGAAACCTGAGAGCTCCCAGTTGGAATTCAAATGATCATTGAACAAAACTGCATGTAGAAGTGCTATTTCTCTTAAAAGCGTGATGGTCAAGTTCACCTAGCTAGGATGAATACCATTATTTGACAGAACAGCCCCAAATCAAGTGTAGACAAGTGAAATTTCACTTGGAAATCACAAGTGCACTGACAAATGCTGGCCTGGGCAAAAAACCAAAGTGGATATCCTTACGTTTTTTTGAACACACCACCTAACAGCAGAAGAAAGTTTTGGTTTTCATGTTTGGCCCACTACTCTGGATAAGGCTTTCCTCTGACACCTCAGCCAATTGCATCCCCCATACAACGTTACACGAAGTACAGTCATGGCTAGCCACATTACTCAACAGTAGTACAGGGCACAATTGCCTTTCAGTGGTGTTTACAAAGGAACTGAGAGGGGAGACTACTTTTCATTTTCAGCTCAGGCCAGATGCAGCAGCTGTTTAATGAATCCCCAGTTTTAAACTTAGATTAGTAGTTTGTACCTTAATATGCAGTACTTATAGCACTTTCATCTGTAGATCTCAAAGCACTTTGTGGGCAGCTTATGCTCATTTTCACAGACAGAATTTATAATACAAGTGCAATACAACTTTATGTTTACATAGCTCGTTTTGATCAGAAGTTGTGAAAGCAGTTTGATATCCAGATCATCCTTGACCAAGTCACATTAAAAGTAAGATTCCCTAGCCTATTAAAGCTTTCAGTAAAATGTCAGTAAGATTGACTTTTTACATACACACACCCACACCCACTCAACTTCAGATACATGGAGGTCAAACTGCCAGATTGAGATTCAGAAACCCAAACCCGTATGATCTTGGTTCATAAAACACAAACAGCATTTCTTCCCCTAAAGAATATGGCTATTTACTGCACTTATTCTACTAAGTGCTGTTCAACATCAGCTGAATGAACACATTTTTTTTTAATCAAAAATTATGATAAAGTTTGACTTTAAAATAGAAACCAGAAGCATAGTGCCTCTAGAACATCATATAAAGTTGCCAAAAATAAGTGTACATTGAATTGAGTGGTTTTACTTTTATAACCACAGGGTGGAAATAGATGAAGTGCAGGCATTAGTAAGATTACTAGTGATTAAAAAAAATAAAATCTGAATTATTTAACTCCGCACAACCAGTAGGGCCATGAGTGGGAGAAAGATAACCCCGCCCCTTAAAATAAATAGAAGTGCCTACATCATCACTGATGGTGCAAAACCCAGAGATATAATCATCTTTTATTAGATCTGATTATGCTCTATAGATAGTCTGAGCTGTGACAAAAAAATTCTTCTTTATCTAGTGAGCTTTCCTTTTCCAGTTGCTACTTATTGCTCTAAATTGGGCTGAAATCTTGCAATAACCATAAAATAATTCAGACAAATATCTTCCAAATCAGCATTTAAAAAAAAAAAAAAACACCACACACACCCCCTGACAGGTCACCTCTATAAGTTTATTAATAGCTTTAAAAAAAATTCATATACTAAAACATCTGACTCTAAAGATATGGATGATAAAACCGATAAAGTCCTATCCCCTCACCTTACATCTTTAATTTATTTTCTTACTGCTGTACATGTGGCAGACTTGTTTTTAAAATAAAAATCAGTATTTGTTTTTTTTTTTTTATTCATCAGACTCAGTTTAGATGAACAAAATACACTTTACAGCATCGATCTAGTTTAGATAAGTGGAGTCTGAAAACAAAATTCACATTTCTGTAAGTTTTACTCAGTTGGAGTACATTTTCCCAAGGTTAGGGTTTACGTAGCCATTTATATTTTGGATTCGCTAAAAGCAAATCGTCCCCTTGTTTTCCTCTTTTGCCAAATTAACCTATTGTGACAAGTACAAAAAAAACCTTATAGTTTGACAATTTTTTCATAAATTAGAATGGACAGCACCATTTTGAATGGAATAGGGAAAATGCATATCCCCAAAAAGTTACAACTCTGATAACATTTGCTTTAATAGATGCTATGCTCTTATGTATGTAACAGGCTACCGAATTCTCACTCCTCACGAGACACTGAAAATGTACACATTATTTTGGTATATTCTGTTTGGATAGTCTTTCCTGACCCAGGTCTTTTTCCCTGCTGTCTTTTAAAAAGCTTGCCTTCCAATATTAGCCTGCCAAGCAAAAAATAGGAACTAGAACTATAGCTTCATAGAAAAGACTTTGGAGGGGTTAAACATTCACACAATTACAGAACAAGATGTAACTTCTTTCAGGCAGCCTCTGATGTTTTGTTAAACATCTGTTTTTCCTACTTCACTTCCTGTTCTCTCTCTCTTCCCCTCCCCCACCAGGCAGGAAACTCTCCTCCTGACAACAAAATGAATCAGCTAGAAGTAAAAAGCTAAGCAGCCATCAGCTGATTCCTCATTGTTTACAGCCACAGGCACTTCAAAAAGCAGTGCTACTTTTTTCTCCCCAAATGACTACAAAACAACACTGAATAGCTAATGTCCAATTAACTTCAGTAAACGTTTAACATAGTAAAATAAGATGTCTGAAGAAAGACAAGGGCTGTATGTAACCATTTTGATCCTGGGTCATAGAAATAAACCCAGAAACACTTTGTATGTCAACAAAGTCCACAAAGTTACTGAAACCACATATATTAAAACCAAACAAGTTGTACCTCTGTCAAGTCACAGGATCTAAACCCTAGCATGAAACGAATGAACATAAATTACCAGACTGGTCTGCTTTAAAAATAATTTAAAAGAGGACAAAGCTCTACAAAAATTCCAGAGTGACACACACACATTTGTTCTTTAAAAGCCACCTAGAAAAGCAACAGTATTGTTCATTTTCTATATCAGCCACTATATTCCCATGACATTCTATTGCAGTATGCAAACCCCCACAGTACCTAGGTATTCTACATTGTACCTAAGCTTCGTTCTTTAAGACAGCATTAAAAAAAAAATCAGCTATTTCAAACTCAGAAGCACTTTTAGAATTTCTTTAAAGTAACTGAATTAATTGGTTTCAACTGAAGTTATCCAATTATGGATTTTAAATTAGATATACAGATTACACAAGTTGTATTCTGATCATGAAGACAGACTTTAATAAATTTACACATTCAATGCACTGAGTATTGGTCTTAATATTTTTAGGCTTCCTCTCTCAAATACTACACAATGACAGGAGACCAAATTAGTATTGTGCTTGGGATAGCAAGCTGCTTACTAAAATAAATACAGATGCCAACATTAACTCTGAAGTAGGTACAAAAAAAGTGTATTACTACAATTATTCCCAACTACATCTGAAACAATTCAAAATGTGTCTCTTACCACAATTGCATGAGGAGAATGCACCAAAGGCTTAAGTTCATTCAAGTCGTTCTCAGCCTGCAAAAATTGGTATAAAAAAGAAACATAAGCTTGAAGAATCATGAAATGCATTTCACATACTATAAATTTAACAGCAGTTATGCAGTCCTATATGCCCCACATACATTACCTTATCCCATTCTCCTTCCATGACATGATTGCGGAATTTGGTAGCAGAAGGATGTTCTAAGCGACATCCTGACTCTTGCATGAGAAGATCAACAGTCTGGCTGCAGGAGAGATACAGTGTAAAAAAAACCTGACCAATTTTACTCTTAAAATGCACCACCCACTGCAATAAGTCTGCTATAGTTAAAAACTGACTTTTTAGGAAGAAAAGAGTTATAACCAGATTCAGAAAAATGTGAAGAGATAAGTATTCCAATCACTCAAGACTCTTGATAGACAGCTTTCTATATCCACAAGAGTGGTTGATTGGTTTGAAAACTTGCATGAAGTGCCAAGATGGTCTTCTTTGACTAACCAATCATCTCAGACAGGCATGTCCAGATAGAAATAAACCAGTTTCTAGCAGCAAGTTGTCTGCACGGAGGAAAAAATAGGTTATAAACATTAGATGTGCCTCTATAACCACCAGTAGCGAATGGGTATAAAGGGCTGCCACTGCTCTGTATTAAGATGTCTGCAGAGATAGCCCTAGCTTTTGTTCATGTCAGCACTTTAAAAGGCTGGTTCCTTAAAATAAAAAATAAGCAAACTCACTAGCTTGTAACCCTCCCCCTTTTATGCTAAAAATAACATATTTACTGTGGTGTAGCCTATAAACAGTCACAAGCTGTCTCCTGCTGTGGAGAATCTGCCTCCTTTGTCAGTGGTGTGTTTTATTTTATGTACTAAGTTCATTAGACTCAATCCAGCCCCACAATAGTTTGCCATCTCTCCTTTGGTACTTCCCTTGTAGCTTTATTTTCTGGGGCATCAGCTATAGGACCCCTCCCAAAATCTCAGTATCCACCTAGTTGCTGTTACGTTTTATTTAGAAAAGGGGGAGGGTGGTGTTTGTAAAATCCAGATGGTTCATCTCTCTGTATTTTATTTCTATTTCCCCTCCCTCCACTGCATACTCACCCAAAAATACTGCAGTGCTCTGAGCCACAGAAGAATCAACATATTTGTAATTTTAATTTTTTCAGTCTATAGATAGGAGTATTTTCAAAAGCTATTAGACATATGGCCAAACCAAACCTACAAAAGCTTTCATCCAATTACATGAACGCAGGCTTTGCAGTCAGAATCCTAAATGCTGGTTTAATTCTTTGGTTGGTTTGTTTACAATTAACCAATGAGCTCTTAAGACTTAAACAAAACAAAAAACCTCCAAGCGTCCAGGCTCCATTATGTTCACCAGATCACTTCTCCCCCACTATCACATTTTTATTGATCTGACTTTAGTGGTATGTGATTGGGCTTTCATAATGTCATCTTTGGCAGAGGAAGCTCTACCTGTCCCCTACCACGGTTCAGAGACACAGTCTGTCTCGAATGTACAAAGCTGGTTGGAAGAGCCTTAAAGACAGGTCCCTCACGTCATTATTTTCAACACATCAGGTCTGCCCCACAGCTCCCCTTCATATACACTTATTGATCTCTCTTTATAATGGGATATCAAGCTGTGACAAGGTAGTGTGTGGGAGAAGGCGGCCCCTTTCCTCCCCTCCACAGTCCAAATCTTACGTATGTGGGTCATAAACAGATTTGTTGGTCTGTCTCCCATGGGCACAAATGGTGCCCTAAAATAGAACAAGTCTCCCAGCACCATTATTTTCCCCGGCCCACTCCTGCACCAAGCCAGCCCCCTCCCCCACTTTTGACTCCTCTCTCCTTATCGATGTGCAATTCAATTACATCAGTGCGGATCTACAGTAGAGGAGGGGCCCGGGGCCCCCCATCCCCACCTAGCCTCCCTCCTGGTCCCTATGGAGGGGGAAGCGGGGGTCTCATAGCACCGCTAGAGGGGAAAGGAAGGAAAACGGGCCCTCGCCGTGTGGGGCCCCCTTACCCCAGCGCAGGCCTGCCGCGCAGGGTCCCCCCCCCGCCCTATGGGGGAGGAGGGGGTCGGTCTCCCCTCCGAGGGCGCGGGCACTTACTTGAGGCCCAGCCCGTGGAGGTGCTGCCCGATGAGCCGGATCACGTCCTCGTCGGACTGCGAGAGCCGCTTCTTCTTCTTCAGGGCGCTGCCGCCGCCTCCCCCCAGCTCCGCGGCGGCCGAGCCGGGCCCCCCGGCGGCCGGGACCCCGTTGTTGACGCTCAGGCCGCCGGGGCTGCTGTTGCCGCCGCTGCTATTGGCCGCGGAGGCGGAGGGCAGCAGCCCGTTGGCGTGAGCCAGCTGCTCCCCGGCGGCCGAGCCCGACGAGGCCTCGCCGTTCTGGGCGCCCAAGCAGCCCAGCTCCGGGCCCGCCGGCCCCTGCGGCGGCGGCTGCTGCTGGCCTCCTCCTGCCCCGTTGGCCTGCATGGCGCTGCTGCTGCTGCTGCCTCTGAGCGGGGCGGCAGGGGGGGCGAGCCCGGCGGAGAGCGAGGGGGACTGGGACGAGGTGAGGCCTGCTCTGCCCGCGGAAGCCCCGGGCTCGCCTGCTCCCTCCGCCGCCGCCGGGGAGGCCCGGGCTTTCTTCCGCGGGGGCGGGGAGGCTCCGCCGGTGTCCGAGTCGGAGGAGGAGGAAGCGGAGGCCAGAGTTTCCTCGCCGAGAGCGGCCGTGGTGGGAAGCCGGGGGGGCGAGGAAGGGAGGCGGGGGGCGAGGGGAGGAGGAGCGGGGCCCTGTCCCCCCCGGGGTCCCGGAGGCAGCGCCGCCCCACTCTGGGCTCCCGCTTGTTATTGCTGCCGCTGCCCGGAGCCCCCGCCCGGCCGCCCCAGGCGCCCGGCCTGCTCCGTGCTGCTGGGTTTGTCACTTCTCTGCCCAGCTGCAGCCTAATGGAGTCCGGGCCGGGACGTCACAGGAAATTCCTATACTGCCCCCTACACCCACTTCCGCCGCCCGGAGCGGGTATGGAGCCTATGGGGCAGGGGGCAGAGAAGAGCGGGGCTTCACCCTCCTTGTGCAGCGCCAGGGGAAGGGGGGATGGCACAGACCCAGAGGGGGCTCTGCCACACACCTGTCTAGCTGCCTCCCACCCAGCCCTGTGTGCCTACCTAACATGTCTCTGTATACAGACTATGTACATGTGTCCTGAGCTGTAATACATATGGACAGACTATATATAGGTGTGTATTCATCTGTAGGCAAGTGTGCAAATACACACACACACACATAGATAGATGATGATATACATACACATATATATATATAGAGAGAGAGAGATGATATACATACACACACACACACACACATATAGATATAGATATATAGATGATACACACACACACACACCCCCCAACATAAAAATATGCTAAAAGAACACTATTAAGGTTGCCAGGTGATCACTCAAAAGTTAAATACCAGAGTTAAAGTGAAACCCTAATTTGGCCCCCTTGTGCCTGTGCATTAGGAGATAATCTTTAATTGCATGATCCCATAGTATTTTTTCCACAGAAGCCTACTGCCTATACTGCATGGTATAGATATTGCTCACTTAATGAACAGCTAATCAATATTTTTTCTCCTCATTGTTTAATAACATACTAGTCAAACCCTGCTCTGAATACAGAATTATTAATTTTTCATGGGCTTTATCATATGAATTTATTTTCACAACATCCCTGTGAGGTGAGGATATTATTATCCCCATTTTACAGATGGGCTACCGAGACACAGAGATAAAAGTAAAAAGTTCCCAGCAAGTTTGGATGCCAAACAGATACCTAGGACATAATTTTGCAGAGTACATATCATTACATAGCACTTTATGTGTTCAAAGCACAGGTCCATTAACTTCATTTGTAGCTGTGACTGCTCAGCAATTTTGCAAATCTGACCCCAGGATCTCAGGTTGAGCACACCCAGAAAATGAGGAATATAGAGTAGTGACCACATCTGAAAAAAATTAGTTTCAAGTGACTTGTCTAGCATCACAGAGGAACTCATGGCAGAGGCAGGGATGGATGCCAATTCTCCAGGGTGCATTCTCCAAGAAGCTGCCTTAACCACAATACAGTCCTTTCTCTTTCTACAATCACCTGTCTCATCCACTCCATATCTATCACAGGCACATCTTCATGTGCAGGTGGTGGAATCCCCCTTGGTGTGCCAGAGGATATCCTGGCTGGTACCAGCAGACTTGGAGATCTCCTGGACTACAATCAGAGGACTGGGTAGACCCTGCGGCACTTGATCAGCACATGAAGCGGCCCATCCTGCATGGCTCCTGTTGTGTGCTCCAGGCGGTGCGGGCAGCCTTACCTGCTGCTTCTCCCATTTTCCTTGAGCAGGTGCTGCAGGAGGGTGCTCCCTGCCCATCCCTCACGCTGGCCCTCTGGATCTTGTCATCAGGCCCCTGCCTTGTGAGCCTCCCTGGCCGCCCCGACATACCACCATGCACAACATCCACCTGATCCACCCCTGAACCACACCTGGAAAAGATCTGTATGCACTCACGCTTCATACTATACGCTTCCTCACCCTCATGTTCCACACCGACACCAAGTGGTGGGACCTGCTGCCATTGGAAGAGGGCTAGGCACCCTGGTGGGCCAGTCTGTGCTCCACTCTGGTTCCACATTCCACCGGGGATATTAGTTGGTGGCTCCTCCACAGAGCCATGAGCACAGGCATGTACCTGACGCAGTTCACGCACTCCTCTGATACATATCCTTCCTGTGACAAGAGGGAGACACTAGTGCACATCTATGTAGGGTATATCAGGTGGCAGCCCTTCTGGCTCCTCCAGAACCTCTTACTAAGGTTATAGCTCCATTTTTCCCTGCACTTCCTGATCTGTGCACACCCCATCTATGGCCCCACAAAGTCATGGGACCTCCTCATCCATCTTCTCCTGGCATTGGCCAAGATGGCCATCCATCACACCAGGAGGAAGTTGGATGGGAGTACTCTGTGACTGTGGAGTCTATTTCCATTCACTTTTTCAATCATATTTGAGTAGAGTTCCTTCCTGGATGGTGTCTACAGACTCCTCAGACACCTTTGAGGAGTGGTGGGCACTGTCAGGGATTCTCTGCTCTTTGTCCCCCTCTGGCTGCCTCATTTTTAACCTTTGACTTAACAACTTTAACCTTTAACCTGTTCCTGTTTTCTCTTTCATTGTCCCAAGTACTCAACTGTGACTCGGGCTTAGTGGTTCCCCCCCTTAGTTGAGGGGGTGGGCCTTAAGTTTTGGGCAGGCCTAGATCTGCCTGTCCCAGTACTAATAAATAGTCCACATCTGTCACAGGCACATCTTCATGTGTAGGTGGTGGAGTCCCCCTTGGTGTGCTTGAGGATAGTCCTGGGTGGTACCACCAGAATCAGAGACCTCTGGACTACAATCAGAGGGATTGGGTGGATCCCGTGGTGTTTGGCCAGTGCATGAGATTGACTACCCTGTGCAAACACCATCCTGTGCTCCAGGGGATGAAGGCTTTTGTCTTGAAACCACATCTTGAATAGTCCTGCTGTAGGGCACTTCCTGCCAACCACTCAACCTCAGCCCTCCAGCTCTTATCATCAGGCCCCTGCCCTGTGAGTCCGCCTCTCCCCCTCCCCCCCCCGATACCTCTGATGCACCATCCAGCAGGCCCTTCTCCAAACTGTGCCCCAAGACCATCTCTACATGCATGTGCTTCATACCATCCACTTCCTTGCCCTCATGTCCCGCCCCAACACTAAGTGGTGGGACCTGCTGTCACTTGCGGAGGGTGGAGAGCCCCGGTGGGCCAGCCTGTACACCATCAGGACCCATGATCCACTGGGGATCTCAGTTGGCTCCTTCATGGACACATGAACATGGGCATATGACTGGCACAGTTTACAGAATTCCCCGACACCTGTCCTTTATGCGGCAAGAGGGACACTCTGACACACATCTACATAGAATGTGTCAGCTGCTGCCCCTCTTTTGGCTACTCCAGAACCTCCTGATGAGACCCACCCATCTCAGTACCTTCAATAGGCTTAAGAGGGAACTGGGTCCATGTGACGTGGTATACCAGATGCTCTGAGGCCCCCTGCTGGAGATCTTGTGGCCCTGCCACACCCCGCCCCAAAAAAGGGCAGTGGAGAGGGTCCTCCAAGCTGCCTAGAGTGACTGTGTGGGACACAACCAATCAGGCCCAGCAGCCCGATATAACAAAAGCTGCAGGGCCAAAGCAGGGAGCTCAGTTCCTTGCTGCAGCTGTAGGAGTGTGGGTGGCTGATAGAGTGACAGAGCAGAGCAGTCAGAAGCCAGGGAGAGTGAGAAGGAGGCCTGAGCTGGTTGCTGGGACTCCATTAGGACAAGGCCCTGAGGTAAGGGTGAAGATGGTGTGGGGCCATGGGGAAGTGGCCCTGGGAATTAGAGAAGCTGTGTGATATAGTGTCCCTGGGCTGGGACCTGGAGTAGTGGGCTGGCCTGCTGGGCCACCCCTACCCCCTATTAGATACTGGGGGGAAGTGGCCTGGACATTGAGGCACCCCAAAGGGGGAACTGCACTATAGTGGCTCAGCTGGAGAGCTGTAGCCAGGAAGCCCCAAGAAGGTGAAGACATTGTCCCTGCTCTGGGATAGAGCAGGGCCCTAGGCTCCCTCCATGGAGACAATCTGAGAGGGTGTGTACAAGAAGTGAGTGCACCCTGTTAGTCCAATACATCTGAACTGATTGCCTGATGCTCAGTTGGGCTTAAGGAAAGGTACCTTGGCCTTATAAAGGGGGAGACAGCAGAATTTGGTTGTTGGCAGATGCTGTGTGGAATAAGAAGGTTCCTGTAAGGCTGTAAGTTAGCAGAGAAGACTGAACTCCAGGCAAGAAGTGTTGGGAGAGCAGGAAGACAGACCCTCAGGGAGGAGAGTTTCTGCCCAATTTGAGATTATGTAAAGGTAGTGACTGTTAAGAGGACAGACCTTTACGGAAGAGGGACTGGGCCCAGCTGAAATTTGGATGAAGAATTTGAAAGTTTGAGTTTTATTTTAAAAATCTTTTTGCAGGACTTAATAAATTGGATCCCAGATGGGAAAAGTTTTGAATATCTAGAATGTGGCCTTTTTAAGTGCCCTGGAGGGGTGGGTGGAAAGAGGCAGTTTTCAGCAGAGCCATGGACACTGCAGGACAGGTGTGCCCTTTGACATCTTCCTACTTCTGGAACAAATGTAGGGATGCTACAGGTGATGGTCTCCTTTACTACACAGTGTTGATTCAATCCCAGAGCAGTTCCAGCCTGTGCACTGAGTGAACCAGGTGTTGTGTAGAAAAAATAGTATGTGATCATGTAATTAAAACTGTATCTTAGGCACCGAAGGGCCGAATTAAAGTTGCACGGGCAACCTTAAGTCCTCCATTTAATAACTTTTGAGTGTTTGACTTTGCAGTCTTACTAATGTTCTTAACATCGTTATTTTGTCTGTAACTTTCAAAAAAGAAAACTTTAAAAAAATCCATTATGGGTCATCAGCAGGGTTGGAACTTCTAAATCTACTGCAGACATCTGCCACTTCAGCTAATGGAGCAACTGATAGCAGTGGTAGGTTGTTATCCTCTGTCAGTGGCGGGCAACCTGCAGCCCATGGGCCACATGTGGCCCATCAGGGTAATCCACTGGCAGGCCGCGAGACAATTTGTTTACATTGACCGTCTGCAGGCACAGCTGCCCGCAGCTCCCAGTGGCCGCGGTTCGCCATTCCCGGCCAATGGGAGTTGCGGGAAGTGGCACGGGCTGCAGGGATGTGCTGGCCACAGCTCCCACTGGCCGGGAACAGCGAACTGTGGCTACTGGCAATTGAAAACAGGGTCTTATAATGGCAAGTATTGGGCAATTTTCATAGGCTGTGCAACCAATCCAACCTGTAATGT